AAAAAAAAAAAAAAAGAAAAATGCGGGAAGAAAAAGGATTAAATCAAAGAAAAAAAAAATGAGAAGAAAAAAGAACGATCAACAAAAGCTCAATAAAATCAAAAAATAAATTCTTTTCTTAAGTGAATGAAAACGGTAAAAAGAATCAAAAAATTGGAAAATAAAATGAACATGTATGTATATATACGTGTTTGTTAATGGAACAACTAAAAATCTTTTAGAAGATAACCGTGCAAAAATAGTCAAATAATAAATGATGACACAAAATGTGATACAGCATCATAATAATAATAATAATAATAATAATAATAATAATAATGAATAATAATAATAATAATAATAATAATAATAATAATAATATAATTATAAAATCTAATCAATATATTAAAATCAACTGGTTCACTTCAAAAAAAAAAAAAAAGCAAAATCTCCATCACATAATTAAGAACAAAAAAATAGTAATATAATTAGTAAAACAAAAATTAATTTGTTAACCTGAACACAACACAACTCTAATTTACAACCACAGACTAAGAATAAAAACAATTATATAAAATATCCAACATATAAAGCTTACGGCGAAGATGTCGCCGAAGTCTTCAACTGATATATCACCACCTCTTCAAAACCCATCAAAGCGTAGATTTGGTTCAAAAAAAAAAAGAAGAAAAAAAAGAGAGAAGACTTAAAAATAAATGCTAAATTTAGACAACTGATGACATTCTCAACCCGGCACTTTTCTTAAATGTTCAAAAAAACTGTATTCCGCGTAATCTTACAAAAAAAAAAGTATGCAAAAAAAAAGAGGGGGATCAGAAGACCTCGCCAAACGCGGATACATAATGCAGAACAATGCTAGTATCATTGATTCGGTATATTAAAAAATTTCTTCTGCTCATCAAACATATATGCACACAACTGCATAAACAAAACGAAAAAAAATGAAGATAAAGACTAATAAAAAGAAAACAAAATCTTTTAAAAAGACTGTTCTTCCATATAATCTTTATCCCTTCCTGCTTAATCTCTCTCGCTCGCTCGTCCGCCCCTCTTAAGCAAACAATTTAGCAAGTATGTAATTAAGTGAAATACAGACAAACAAAGAGCAGAAGAGATTTCTAAGCGACATAATAAAAAACTACATTACTGCAAAAAATACTGCTATACAAGTATTTATGAAATTTAAAGTATGACTCAAAAGACTGAAACTGAGAAGTAGCACATTATTAAAAATGTAAATTTTACAAAACACGTAAACAGTAACAATGCCACTTCTCTTTTCTGCTTACTTAACCCGTCAGTTAAATCTTAAGATTACTTCAAAATGATAAAATCCTAATTCATCCTAAGAAGCAGCAGAAAGCATCAATGGTGGTTGGATTACAGCATTCAACTGATCATCTTTGAACATATTATTGTTCTTCTCGTTCCCTGTATTTGGCATTTCAATTGGCAATTCAAAATGTTTGAAATCTGAGTGCCTACTCGTCAGTGAGGGATAGAGTGATAAGAAATTCTTCGGCACAAGTCCTCTTTTCACTTCCTTCGAGTCTTCAGAAGTATACTCACATAACCACCATGTTTGCTCACCAGTATCCTTATCTATCACCGTTAAGCAGCTATTTGCCGGGAATGTCAACTCATCATCTCTTTCTGCTTCGTACGAATAAGCAGCATACATCTACAAAAAACAAACACCACTTTAGTGTGACTCATAAGCACAAGCCAATTATTTATCTTTATTCAATCTTTGCTCAGTACTGAAAGCCTAATAAATGTATAAAGAAAGCACTTACTTTTCTTTGATTTACAACACCCGCCCAGTTGTGTGCAGCATGTAAATACAGCTGGCATCCGTCATAGCCATCTTCTTCTTCCTCACATTTTTCAACAG